ATCACCTGTAACCTTTATATCTGTACGTTAGCTGTATATGTTTAAGACATACACGGATATAATGCAGTATCGATGTGGATAATGAAATGTAACTTTGATATATCTCACTTGGAGGATCTGCTCCCTCTTGTGTTTTTATGATAGAAATACTTCGTGTTTCGATTATATAATTTAGTGTCATAACCAAATGAATGGAAATAATTGCTGCTTTCGCAATGATTAGTGAAAGGATTTACTGATCTGATGTGCTGACAAGGGATCGGTTCTGAATCGCATTCCACAGAATTACATCAGTCTTTTTGTGATCAATTCATATCAACATGCTTCATATCAATTGTTCATTTCATATTCTTAACAATTAATAAGTGATATCGTGCAATGTTTTTTCATAAATTTTTCATAAATTTATTTCGTTTTCCATCTTATAAGACAGTGTTTTTCTCCGGTAAATTCCTTTATATACTCTTCCTTCGTGCTCTTCAAATCGAGTACATTTGATGCGCACATTAATATGCACTCATTCATAACATTCAACGAAATTCGTTAGCAGAATGAAACCCAAGCAATTCCATCGCCCGCTATGTTCAAACGATCGGTTCAGAAGACAACTTAGTTTCCGAAATTACCTTATTTATTATGTACTATAGCCGCCACAGTGGCATAAGGATCTGAAGCAGTAAGTTAAGGATTTACGGGGTGAATGAGTATTGTAATCGGTCAGGTGTTCAGTGAACATTCAGAAATGCAGTTAGATCTGTGTAAATATGCATGTCATATCACTAATGCATGCAACTTTTCGAGAGCTCAGGAACATCCCTAACCGAAAGTATGAAAAATTTTATAGGGTTTTTCAAACAAAATTGAGCACGCATTCCACCTGAAGAGAACGTGCCAAATCATTTCAGTGAATTTTTCGTTTGTCTAGTTTCTTAATGGAATGAAAGCGTGTTGGCGATTATGCAATATTATGAAATCTGAGTTTCATCCCTTTATGAGTATTATTACTTTCGATGATCAGGTGTTTAAAACTGAGAAAACCTCAAAACAATTTTATGTAACATCACTAGGGTCAATCATCAACACTAAGGCGTAATTTTTGCAGCCAATTCGATCGCAATCACAGCATAACTGCACAATTGAGTGCTTTACACAAGCAGAACACACTTCAAAATAGATATGATCGGTACAAAAGGAATAATATGTGGTGCAGAAAATGCTTTGAATTGAACACGAACGATCAATCATATTTCTGCATAAACCGATCAACTCTTCAAACGATGATGATCGCTGCAAATTGCACGAGCAAGTCGCACCTATGAGATTCTAATGAATCAACAGCATCCTCCAAATCCACCACCTCCACCGCCAAAGCCACCGATACCTCCGAAGCCTCCGATACCACCGAAACCTCCGATTCCACCGAATCCACCGCGGTATCCACCCATACCGCCGAATCCGCCGCCGAGACCGCCGAATCCGCCGCCGAGACCGCCGAACCCCCCACCGAAACCACCCACTCCACCGAAGCCGCCACCTCCACCGAAACCACCAGCTCCACCGAAGCCGCCACCTCCACCGAAACCGCCAGCTCCACCGAAACCGCCAGCTCCACCGAAGCCGCCACCTCCACCGAAGC